TGGCTTTTACACACTTCATTAGGAGAAGCAGGAGTCTCCTAGAAATTCATGGAAGTACTTACATTATGCTACAATACACATTTCTGAGCACTTATGAACAAGGTGATCAGTCAGTGTGAAGCTCAGTTAACCTGAGAACAGACAACTCTTGCTGTCAGGAACAAGAGCAACGGCATGAAAGACAGGAATCACTGAAATGTAGTGGTTCAAAAGACAATTTCATCATTGACATCCTTTAACACGGAGGAGTCACATACACTGAAAGCCCTTATGAGTGAATAGCAAAAGCTTAATTAATATTGTGCCAAGGAGTTGTGGAGAACTATAATGAATGGCATTGATCGTTTCAGTTTAATATGGCAAGTTGATGTGGATAGTTTCTTTTGCAGTTCCAGCCGTTTATTCCCTTTTCCTTCAAAACTACATTTCTCCTACAACCGACTGGGCAGACCAGTTGGACTGAGATGCATGGAAAGGAGCACGCTATACAATTAAAACAGATAAAGACCAAGAACTAATTAAAAATTCCCAGGAAATTAACTCTACATATTACATGCATGGGGCTTTGAAAACACCAGCTATACAAAAAGAACAGGAGTACTTGTGGCACCAGCTATACAAATGAATCCTCTTGCAAAGACAGCCTACACAAATACACAGCAGGGAACCCTCGGCATAGTCCACTGTGTGTGTTTGAGCCCTTTGTCATAGGGATCAGTGCAGACTGCTACCAACTGGCCCTTTACAGGTGAACAATTTATCTACAAAGAACTACTTTTCAAATGTTAAAGAGTCCACCTTAAAACCTGAGCAGGCAGGTCCACTCAAAGGCTTCAGACTGGCTGTTAAGAGGAGAAACCAGGCAATTCTAACTTGAAATTAGACCAGCCTTGGGATGCCTCTCCTGCCCCAAATATCTCCCTCCATCCAGTGGAGGAATGCGCTGTCTACAAACCACTGTCTGGAGTTCCTCTCCTCCAGTTCCACCCTAGACCCTCTCCAATCCAGCATCCACCCCGGCACTCCACTGAAACTGCTCTCAAAGTCTAATGGCTTCTTCCTAGCCAAAGCTCAGAACCACTACTCCACCCTCATCCTACTTGACCAGACAGCCACCTTTGACACCTTTGACCATGCTCTTGTTTTGAAAGTTTGTCCCCTCTCAGCCTCCATGACTCTGTCTTCTTCTGGGGTATGTCTACAAATCAGCTGGGAACGTGTTTCCCAACATGGGCAAACAGACACATGCAAGCTCTGCTCAAGCTAGCATGTTAAAAATAGCCATGAGGCCGCAGTGGCCCAGGCAGCAGCTCAGACTAGCCACCCGAGTACAAACCCCTCCTCCCCTTCAGCCTCCTGGGTACATACACAGGTGGCTAGCCTGGGCTGCCAGAGCCATGCTATTTTTAGCACAGCAGCTTGAGCAGAGCAAGTGTGTCTGCCTACCCAGACTGGGAAGCACACTCCCAACTGCTATGTAGCCATATCCCTGGTCCTCCGACCTCTCTAATTGCGCCTTCAGCATATCTTTCACAGATCCTCCTCATCTCATCCAATTTTCTAATGGGGTTCCACAGGGCTCTGTCCTTGGTCCCCTTCTCTTCTCCCTCTACACCTTATCCCCGGGTGATCTCATCCACAAACATAAATTCAACCACCCTCTCTATGCGTATGAGTCATAGATCTACTTCTACTCCAGATCCATCTCCTGGCCTCTCCATCTGACATCTCCTTATGGAATTCTAGCCACCAGCTCAAGCTCAACATGGCCAAACAGAGCTCCTACTCTTCCCACTGCCTCTTTCCTCCATCACTGCAGACATTGCCACCATCCTGCCTGTCACTAAGGACCATCACCTGGGTGTCATTTTTGACTCAGACCTCTCTCTAGGTCCTCTCATCCAGACTGTCTAAATCTTGCAGATTCTTTCTATTAACATTTCTAAGAGATGGCCTTTCCTCTACAGCCACAGAGCTAAAACTCTCATCTCACATCCCCAATTACCGCAACATCCCTTTCTTTGGCATTGACAAATACAATATTGTCCTCACTCATCTCTAGCAGAAAAAAAACAAACTAATTGTCTTCACTTACAAGGCCCTTAATGGCATATCCCCAGCTAACTATCATTAAAGCTAAGATTTTGTCAGTTATTTTTAGTAAAAGTCACAGACAGGCACAGACAGGTCACACGCAATAAAAAAAATTCACAGAAGCCACGACCTGTCTGTGTCTTTTGCTGTTGCGGCAAAATGATTTCCCCTGCCACCGTGGTGGCTAGGAGCAGTGGGGTTTCCCCTCTGCCCAGGGAAGCTGGGAGCTGCAGGGTGACCATATTTCACGGAAAGAGAAAACGGGACATCCCCAGCCACTCGCCTGAGGCATCCTCCTTCCCCCTGTGCGAGGTTGTTGCCCATTCCCGGAACTCTGAGGGCAGCTCCCTCAGGAATCTGTCACCTGTTGCTGGAAACCTGCAGGGGGCCCCCATCGCTGCTGTTGCTGGAACTGTGCTAGGACCCCGTTGGCTGTCAGTTCGAGTCCCGCAGTGCCTGGGGCTGAAGCAGAGAATGTCACAGCGGTCTCTGGAAAACACGGATTCTATGACCTCCATGACATAAATGTAGCCTTAATTATCATCACTCATTCACTGTTGAGATTTCACCTCCAACTTCTGACTGGCCCCAAGTTCAAAGGAGAGAAGGGTCTTTCAGAGAAGGGAACACATGAAAGTTCAAACAAGGAAGCACGGTGACCTCGGAGCTTTAAGAGCAACCCTTCTACCACAACACCATCCTAAACTGCAACGAATGAACTGGTTTAGAGCCAGTTTACTGTACGGTAAGCTTGACCTAAATTTTTCAGCATGGCACGTGGATTGTGCAGCACGCCCATGCAGCAAATTAAAAATTCTGCAGCAGTTGCAGAAGTTAAAAGAAGTTTGTATTCAATTAAACACGAAAGTGAATTCCAGCAGATTACCCTTGCCCAGGTTATCCTTGGACTATTAAGATATTACATTTTAATTTTACAAGGCCACATCATTTTTAATTGTAATTGCACTGCAGAATTTTGTACTGAACATACAACTGCCTTGTAGAAATGAACATGGAGAACCTGGAGGTTTTGGCATTAAGGTAAGGGGGTGCTTGGGCCTTTTTGCACCTTGGAAGCCATGGGAAGCAGTTTGGGATTGTGGGATAAACACATTAGTTTGATGATTCTGCTGAAGATATCAAAAGTGAAAGAGTTAATTGTTGACTTTTCAATCATCATTAGGGTTCAGCATCAATCCTCTGAAAGAATGGGCCAGTTCACAACACAGAGCCTTGTTTCAGCAAGTTGGCAGATGTTACTGCATCATTTTGCACTTGGTTCATGTTTGTTAGGTTCTCTTTGCAACCAAACAGGCGAGAAAAACAATTCATTGGAAGCCTGAAACGGTTCTGCAGAAAAAGGGGTGGGAATCTACAGGAAATTCCAGAACCACAGACTACATGGGTCCCACATATAATCCAAAAAGGAACCATTACAATGCCTCAAACCCCTGGTCCTTCCAATACACAGGTATGATTTGACAGACCTGGGAGAAGGATTGCTACTAGAGAAACCCAGTCACTGCTTCTTTTGGCAATGTGTGACTCTGAACTTTTGCTCATCGTAATGACCATGTGGTGTAGGAAGGGTTCAGATCTCTGTAGCCCCACTCTTTGCTAGCTGAAAGGAGCCATTGGAAGGCACACACATGTACGCACGCACCACTCCAAGGCCCAGGTGACTGCCAGTGCTGCCACACACAGATCACAGCAGTGCTGGTCCGCAGGGCAAGCCTCAGTAGCTGCTTTTCTAACTTAACTTACAGAGCTGTAAAACATATAAACGGTTATATGTTCTAGTGGCCTGTGATACTTTTAAGACAAACATGATGCTCAGAGCAAATATTAGGCTTGAGATTAGACAAAAATTGCTTTTGACTTCACTCTTAACCCTGACAATGCTGGAGAAATATAGTCAACTTTTCCTCCTCCGTCCCTCTTCACAACTGCTGATTGTTCCTTCTTCCCAATGCCTTGCACAATGCGCCACCCAGATTCTGCCCAACTCTATTCTGCCCCCAGCCTATATCTTTCACACCTTAGCAGCCTCTGGCTTCATACAGATTTCCCATCCAAAGGCCTCAGATGTGCACCCCATCCAGCCATCTCTCTTTCTAGTTCAGAGTCAGAGGGTTTGGTTGAGAGCTGACTGACCGCTATGCTACAGATCAGTACGATCTTGTGACAGCAGGAAGAGGAATCGAGGGTCAGGTCAGAGTCCTTACATGTCCCATCCCTCTGCTGCAGGAGATTTTCATTAATTTCCCACAGTAGCTCTCCTAGAAGATGGGAAAAGTCCTTCATAAGCAATCAATTCACAGGCATTATCCACCTGGGAATGAGACAGTTTGTTAAGGTTTATTGTACCAGTGCTGATCATTCTGACTTCTCTTGAATGCTTTGGATACATTTGTTTCAGTCTGTGCATTCCAGTTACTGCAAGAGACTTTTCCCCCTAGACTTTGAACACATTAAAATTTCCTTCCCTTGAAGGGCTTTTTGGCTGTTATACTGGGACTTAATTTTATACTGCTTTATTTCCCACTTCCTTCTCTGGGAGAAAATTGGGGTGGTGTAATAATACACAAGCTTTCCGTGGAGTAGCCTTACAACAGCAGAAAAGAGTTCAAACTTGATGTGCACATTCAGTGCCAACTCATTTTAAGACCGGAATCCCACATACAGCCAGGAGTTCCACACCAATAAGTAAGAGCTTTACAGTCATGGACTGGAAAGACAAGCCCTAAAAAATACAAACACATCCATAACTCAGATGTACCGTTCTCCAAACAGCATCCTTGCTTCCACCCTCATGAAGAGGAAACAGACCATGTTTTTCTGAGAATCATATGATTTCACTGCAAAGATTAATACACTGCATACAAACAACTCTTAACATGACTCACCGGGAAGTCTGTTCATGTTGACTCCTTGGGCTGAGAGTCCTATTCCCATGTACCTTCAAACAAACAAAATTCTGTTAGTTAAATGCAGAATGGTCAAGTCACATGAGATTCTCCCCTCCAGAAATACAGGAAACCATTTTAAATTAGACCGCAGTGTTTCACTGGAGACTTCCCTCAGTACTTTTATTTGTTTCTGGAATCAAAGAGAAAATGCCTTAATCAGCCATGGGAACTGATGCCTCTCTGCTCTCCAACTGCAGCTACATTCCTGCAGCTCCTAATTGGTATGAAAACTAGAACCGCACAGTAATCAGAGCAGCTAGCCCCTTGGTTTTCCTGCATCAAGATAAGGTGATGACTTACAAGCAGCTGACAAGAGCGCGAACAAGATTTAAGCATCAGATAATTCTAAGCAACTCAACACATTGGCTCCTGATCCTTACCCAATGTAAATCCACAACACAGTCAAAAGTGATTCCTGTAAGGGGCTCCGCTTCTGGGGCTGCCTGCTCCAATCCCCCCACAATGGGGAGCAGAGCTAACAGTGTCCTCCTGAAGTCTTCGGTCTGGTCTATATTAAAAAAGTTGCATGACTGTCTCTAGTTATACCAGTGCAAACTACTAATGTAGACTCACTCAAATCAGTTTAAACCTCGTTTACTCTGGAAACTTACCAAGTTAAGCTGAACTGAGTTAAGGGAAGTTTTACTCAGTTCAAATGAGGGTACCTTGAAGGTATGCACCAGTTCAATTTGATCAATTTTAAATCTGTTTGATTGCATTAGTACAAGTTTCCTAATATAGATAAGACCTTATGCCTCAGCTATTTTCCTACCCCATGTAGGTTAGAGATACCAAATATCACACATAGATAAAGCTGGAAACGGAGCATTTATCACTTAAGTCTTTCCACCTTTATCTAGCATGCACCACTTAATAGACTGCCTTGAACAAGAGTAGTTACATCTTCACCACACAACTGGAATTTGAAGAGGAAGGGAGAAATAAACTGCTAAATCTAAATCAGGATCTCAGAGTACAAGTGCGATTAATCAGTTGTAGCTAAGACAACTAAACTTCCAACTCCAAATCTCTCAAACAATTTAGATTTTTATGCCAAGTTCATGGAGGACGGGTCCATCATTGGCTATTAGCCAAGATGGTCAGGGATGCAAGCCCATGCTCTGGGTGCCACTAAGCCTCAAACTGCCAGATGCTGGGACTGGACAACAGGGGATGGATCACTTGATAACTGCCATGTTCTGTTCATTCCCTCTGAAGTACCTGGCATTGGCCACTGTTGGAAGACAGAATACTGGGCTAGATAGACCATCGGGCTGACCACATATGGCTGTTCTTATGAATTGAAACAGTGGCACTGTGTAAAGCCCGTCAGTGCATTGAAAACACTCAGATGTATATTACTATATTGGTGCTAAAAGAACAGGAGTACTTGTGGCACCTTAGAGACTAACAAATTTATTTGAGCATAAGCTTTCGTGAGCTACAGATCACTTCATCGGATGCATTCAGTGGAAAATACAGTGGGCTATTGGTGCTATTACAGTGGCTAGCTAAGACTGCAGCAGGGCTATCTGATACTTCAACCTCGAAAAGGCTGAGGTGGGAACTCCCTCATGCGCCTAAAGTTTTATCTGAGGGATTTCTAAACTGCAATTATTTTGTTCGTTCATCCCTCACCATGACCTAAATGTGGAAGCACAATGCTTGGGCAATGACTTTCCTTTTGAAAATATATGGAACTCCTCTCAATTTGAACACCACTGTTTTTTGACATCTAGAGCTAGGTGACAGCTGCAATAGGCTGCTTGAAACTACCTGTGAAAAGCCATTAATTGCATCTACGGCTGCGTTCTGCAATACTGAGGTGGAAAAGATTCATTAAGCAATCTTTCTAGTCTGTTCCCCTGCAACTGCGGAGTTGCTCCCTACAGTCTAGCATGGTAGCTCAGAAAGTCATTGGTCATTTTAACTTACTGAATTTAACGACTGTACAGCACCTAGAGTCCTGGATAGGCACTGTGACAGGGTCGGACCAGATGGCTATAGGAGAATAATAGAAGGCAGATATATTAGCCCCAGGTTAAGCAGGTCCCTTTTCCCAGGGTAAGGTAACAGGGAAGGTTCCAGAACAATCAGGAACCTTCTGGAGACAATTAAGACAGGCTGATTAGAACACCTGCAGCCAATCAAGAAGCTGCTCGAATCAATTAAGGCAGGCTAATCAGGGCACCTGGGTTTTAAAAAGGAGCTCACTTCAGTTTGTGGTGTGTGTGTGAGGAGCTGGGAGCAAGAGGCACTAGGAGCTGAGAGTGAGAACAAGGACTGTCGGAGGACTGAGGTGTACAAGCACTATCAGACACCAGGAGAAAGGTCCTATGGTGAGGATAAAGAAGGAGCAGGCGGCCATGGGGAAGTAGCCCAGGGAGTTGTAGCTGTCGCACAGCTGTTCCAGGAGGCACTCTAGACAACTGCATTCCACAGGGCCCTGGGCTGGAACCTGGAGAAGGGGGCGGGCCTGGGTTCCCCCCAAATCCTCCCAACTCCTCGTCAGACACAGGAGTCGTTGACCTGGACTGTGAATTCAGAAAAACGGCCAAGCTGAGGGCTGCCATGAAGCTCCAAGGCAAGCAAATCTGCCAATAAGCACAAGACCCACCAAGGTAGAGCAGGAACTTTGTCACAGCACATAAACATGAACAAACACTTTATGTATTTCATCACACAGTAGCATGGCCACTGGAAGGCTGTCCACAACAACTGGAAAAGCCTACATGCCAAAAATTGCACTGGCTGCATATTATACTACAACTGTGCTTCAAGATGTTACTTTTAGTGAGGCCTCAGTCTAGGCCTAGCATACCTAAAGGACCATCCACTACCCTCCTTCCCACTAGATTATGAGAAATCAGGAGGAGCTAATACCTAACTGACCTAAAGTAGGTCTTGAGGACCTTGGGCTTCGGAATGTTTTCCATCAATGTATCCACGTATCCCAAAGTGCATGAGTGGCATCCTTCCACATAAGGATGGAAGAGTTGTTCCCATTTTCAAAGTCACTGGCTTATGATGGTGTTTATTAGAAGTGAAATGTATGTGTATTAAGTAGCCCAAATTGACTCAGGTTTTTTTCAGTTAGACACGCAGACCTTCAAGTAGGAGAACCCCAAAAATTTAAAATAATTTTTAAGAACTCAGTGTCACCCCAGATATACAAGCTCCCTAACACGTCCATGGCAAGCAGTTATATTCTTTTCTCAGATCTACATGCATACTTATGTCCATGATTACATCATCCATGAAGCTGCTGCAAATACACATTAACATTTTTTAAAGTGTTCTTAATTTTCACATGCAGTGTAAGCTAGCTATTTTTTTTTTAAAAAAACCACAGCGTATATGAACCCATGTAGACAATAGTTGTGCATACACATTTTTACATATGGAATTGCATGTGGATTTTTAAGAGTCTGGTTTAGATTTACTCTCCCCTCCTATCCTCTTGCACATTAGAAGGTGCCTAGAATAGTCCTTCATTGAACTGAGATTCTTCAGCCACAGCCCATAAGCTATATATTTGTTCACTCTCTCCTCCCTGAAATTCAAGTTTTAAAAAGTCAACAGAAAGAAAGCCCTGTAGGTTTCCACTCCAATAGAAACACTGGGGTCTTGTATACAAGGGAAGTTAAGCTGAATTAACTAGAGGTCTGAATTCAAAGTGCATTTGTTAAACACATTAAATCCCTGTGTGGACACTTTCACTGAGAAGTGAAGAGGCTTTGGTTTGCTTTAGCTTAATTCAATTCCAAAATGAAGTACTTTTAAATTCACACTTAGGGTGTGTCTTCACTAGCAACACTAAAGCGCTGTCGTGGCAGTGCTCTAACATGGCTGTGTAGTCGTGGCACCAGAGCTGGGAAAAAAATCACCAAGAGGGGAGTAGCTCCCAGCGCTGGTGCATTCTCTACGCTACCACTTTACAATGCTGAAACTTGCAGCGTTCAGGGGTGCTTTTTTTTCACACCCCTGAGTGAGAAAGTTGCAGCTCTCTAAAGTGGCAGTGTAGACAAGGCACACTTGCAAGTTACAGTGCATTAAATCTGCCCAGGGCACCCTAACTCCTGAGGTGTCCACACTGGCAAGGCACGTAGAGCACCCAGACTCAGAATATTAGGATTGGAAGGGACCTCAGGAGGTCGACTAGTCCAACCCCCTACTCAAAGCAGGACCGATCCCCAACTAAATCATCCCAGGCAGGACTTTGTCAAGCCTGACCGTAAAAACCTCCAAGGAAGGAGATTCCACCACTTCCCTAGGTAACGTATTCCAGTGTTTCACCACCCTCCTAGGGAAATAGCGTTTCCTAATATCCAACCTAAACCTCCCCCACTGCAACTTGAGACCATTATTCCTTGTTCTGTCATCTGCTACCACTGAGAATAGTCTAGAGCCATCCTCTTTGGAACCACCTCTCAGGTAGTTGAAAGCAGCTATCAAATCCCCCTTCATTCTTCTCTTCCGTAGACTAAACATCCCCAGTTCCCTCAGCCTCTCCTCATAAGTCATGTGTTCCAGTCCCCTAATCATTTTTGTTGCCCTCCGCTGGACTCTTTCCAATTTTTCCACATCCTTCTTGTAGTGTGGGGCCCAAAACTGGACACAGTACTCCAGATGAGGCCTCACCAATGTTGAATAGAGGGGAACGATCACCTCCCTCGATCTGCTGGCAATGCCCCTACGTATACATCCCAAAATGCCATTGGCCTTCTTGGCAACAAGGGCACACTGTTGACTCATATCCGGCTTCTCGTCCACCGTCACCCCTAGGTCCTTTTCTGCAGAACTGCTGCCGAGCCATTCGGTCCCTAGTCTGTAGCGGTGCATGGGATTCTTCCGTCCTAAGTGCAGGACTCTGCACTTGTCCTTGCTGAACCTCATCAGATTTCTTTTGGCCCAATCCTCCAATTTGTCTTGGTCCCTCTGTATCCTATCCCTACCCTCCAGCGTATCTACCTCTCCTCTCAGTTTAGTG